GTTGAGTCACATGACACCAGGTAGTGAGTCACATGACATCAGGTAGTGAGTCACATGACACCAGGTAGTGAGTCACATGACACCAGGTAGTGAGTCACATGACATCAGATGTGAGTCACATGACATCAGGTAGTGAGTCACATGACACCAGGTAGTGAGTCACATGACACCAGGTAGTGAGTCACATGACACCAGGTAGTGAGTCACATGACATCAGGTAGTGAGTAACATGACACAAAGTAGTTGAGTCCCATGACACCAGGTAGTGAGTCTCATGAAGCAGGTAGTAAGTCACATGACACCAGGTAGTTGTGTTACATGACACCAGGTTTTTGAGTCACATGACGCCAGGTAGTGAGTCACATGACACCAGGTAGTGAGTCACATGACACCAGGTTGTTGAGTCACATACACCAGGTAGTGAGTACCATGACACCAGGTTACTAGTCACATCAAACCAGGGTACTCATTACATGCCATCGAGGTACTATCACTTTTCACCTAAGTACTCGTCACATGCCATCAGAGTACTAGTCACATGACACAAGGGTACTAATCACAAGATACCTGCTAAAAGCTAACACAAGATAAATTCCCCTATTTCAAAGAGTTTTAAGAAATGTAAGATACCAACATCCCCATGAGCCACACAACGACATCCACATGAACCACACAACGACATCAATATGAAGAACACAACAACATCCCATTAGCCACGCAACAACATCCCATTAGCCACGCAACAACATCCACATGAACCACACACCAACATCCACATGAACCACACAAAAACATCAATATGAAGAACACAACAACATTCCATTAGCCACGCAACAACATCCCATTAGCCACGCAACAACATCCACATGAACCTTACAACAACATCAACATGAACCACACACCAACATCCACAAAAACCACACACTAACATCCACATGAACCACACAACAACATCCACATCAACCACACACCAACATCCACATAAACCTTACAACAACATCCCATGAACCAAGCAACAACAACCGCATGAACCACACAAAAACATCTTCATGAACCACACAACATCATCCACATGAACAACACAACAACACTCACATGAAACACACAACGACATCCCATTAACCACACTACAACATCCAAATCATCCACTCAACAAAATCCCATGAACCACACAACAACATCCACATAATCCACACAACAGCATCCACATGAACTACACACCAACATCCACATGAACCACAACCCAACATCCACATGAACCTTACAACAACATCCCATGAACCAAGCAACAACATCGACATGAACCACACACCAACATCCACATGAACCACACAACAACATCCCATGAACCACACACCAACATCCCATGAACCACACACCAACATCCACATGAACCACACACCAACATCCACATGAACCACACACCAACATCCACATGAACCTTACAACAACATCCCATGAACCAAGCAACAACATCCACATGAACCACACACCAACATCCACATGAACCACACACCAACATCCCATGAACCACACACCAACATCCCATGAACCACACACCAACATCCCATGAACCACACACCAACATCCCATGAACCACACACTAACATCCCATGAACCACACACCAACATCCACATGAACCACACACCAACATCCCATGAACCACACACCAACATCCCATTGACCATACATTAAACAGTGTCAGATCCAACATTTTATACCAGGTATCAGAATAATCATTTCTTAGGGCATCTTAAGTTATTTTGATAAGAACTGTCGGTGGCGCACATGACAGACATACACCCATGAACTTTAACCTGAGATAATGACCATAATGATCCATCAACTCCTTCATTATGTCATCAGCGCGATCGGTGCAGGCAGACCAAGTCATGCGATCAGCACGAGCTGCCCCAAATCACGTGATCAGTAATGGACACCAAATAAACATCCCCTCACCACGAGAGCGACTTCCTCTAAATCGGAAGAACTCCGTTTCCTTTCCATCACGCAGCCATCTTGGCTTAGTTCATGACACCAACAAAGGACACAGGCGTCGGGCTAAAAAACGTCTGCCACTTCTCGCTGCTAACAGACGTTCTTGAAGTTACCTTGCAAAAGAGCTCTCTAATATAACGTCATAGTCATTTCCAAACTTTCTCAAACTGTGTTTCATGTAGCAGACGAGAATCGTACAGGTGACATCCGTATTTAAAAACACCACCAAAAACAAATGGGTAACTAAATCCCCAGTAGATTCATAGGACAAAAGCTCTAGAGCTGAACATGGACCGTGTTGCCTAATATTGCTCACTCTATCGGCAACCACAACCTCACTCCACCACATCATCCCTCCACCATATCATCCTTCCACCACATCATCCCTAACCATATCATCCTTCCACCACATCATCCCTCCACCACATCATCCATCAGCCACATCAACAATCAACTACATCATCCCTCCACCACATCATCCATCAGCCACATCAACAATCCACCACATCATCCCTCCACCCCATCATCATCAGCCACATCAACAATCCACCACATCATCCCTCCACCCCATCATCATCAGCCACATCAACAATCCACCACATCATCCCTCCACCCCATCATCATCAGCCACATCAACAATCCACCACATCATCCCTCCACCCCATCATCATCAGCCACATCAACAATCCACCACATCATCCCTCCACCCCATCATCATCAGCCACATCAA